TTGTTTTATTTCTGTATTCTCCCTCCTTAGTTCTTGCATATTTCTCTGCAAGTCCATCAGCATGGTTATGACTTTTGTTTTGAATTCTTTTTCAGGAAGACTGGTTAAATCTATCTCCCCAGGTTCCTTCTCAGGGGAAGATGTAGAAGATATCGAAGCTGTCTGGGTTAGTCTTGTCTGGATCAAATTTTTTTGCTTTTTCATGTTGATAGGTGCAGTGGAGTGCTATTGACACATCTATCAGCTGGGAGAGTCAAGTCTCTTTCCACTTGGCTCCTGGCCTTTCTTTGCTGGAACAACTGCAACCCCTAGTGGCTTGTGCTGGGCAGTTGGGTGCAGACTGGGTCTCTGTATCTTGCCTGGCCTGTATGGAGGAAGCTCCCTTGCTGTGGGCATGGCCAGCCTCAGGCCCCTGCTCTCTTATGGTGAGGCCCCGGAGGGGTAATGGACAGGGGGCTGTTTGGCTGTTTACCTCTGTGAGGGTTCTCAGAGCTGTTGCCCAGGGTGTTAGTGCACCCAGAGTTCCCTGGAATTTTCCAGCTGCTGAACTGTGACCTGGGAGGCTTCCATCCAGCTATGGGATCCCTGTCCCTTTAAGACTTTCAAAAAGCACTCGCTTTTCTTTGTCACAGGGGCGCCAGCTTCGGGACCCGCTCACAGGTCTTACTGTCCTGCTTTCCTAGTTTCCAGCACCTCATGCATGCACTGTGTGTCTGTGCTCTGATGCGGATGGCTAGGGCTGGGTGTTTAGCAGTCCTGGGTTCCCTCTCCCTCCCCACTCTGACTCCTCTCCTCCCGCTGGGAGCTGGGGTGTGTGGCGCTTGGGTCCTGCCAGGCTGCGGCTTGTATCTTATCTCTTTCACCAGGTGCTGTGTTCTCGCAGGTGTAGATGTAGTCTGGCTGTTGTCCTGTGTCTTCTGGTCTCTCTTTTAGAATTAGTTGTATTTGTTGTATTTTCAAAAATATATATATTTTTGGGAGGAGATTCCTACTGTCCTACTCACGCCACCATCTTGGCTCTGCCCAATCTAGAAAAAGGTAACTTTTAAAATATTTTGAGTCACACTGACACTGGAAAACCTTGGTTTGAGAGTATCTCTTACAAAATGTAGTTTATGAAAGGTATAAATTCTCTGATTGAACACAGGAATTCACAGCAAGACTGAAGTGGGGTCCATGAAAGCATGGGGAGCAGGAAGCAAGAGAGATTTATTCAGTCATTAGAGTTACTGCAAGAGTCTCTTTTTGGCTGTCCTCCAGGGCTCAGGAGGAAAAACCTAACTGATACCTTGGGGTATGACCTGATTTGGGCTCAAATACTAATTTCCATCATAAAGAAGAAGTGCTTCTTGAGGAGTAGCTGACTCATGTCTTGGGATGAAAACAATAAATATGAGCCTGTAACATCTTCATCTCTTCCTAAAGTGAACATAATTACATGAATATTGGGGGTAGTACTAAAGGGTCAGAGATAAAAATGAGGACAGCCAGCACCCAGGGGTGACATTTGGAACAAGAACATTTATATCTAAAGGAAGAGGCATAGCAATGAAAAGTACTTGGGGAAATGGCAGGGAGAATGCAGACACGCTTTCAAAAGTGGGACAAAGAAATAGATTAAATATGTTTACTGAAGCCAAAGATACTGCTTCTGAGTGCAACACATGAGTCCAGTTAAGAGGGAAATATGATGAATTAGTGAAGCAATGTGTGCACAGTGTAATGAGAGAAAATGTGATTTGTCTTCTAATATGCTACTGTACTAATATGGACTAAAGAAAAAAAAAGGACATCTCATGAATGGGCTTTTAATCTGGGGGAGATAAAATGCTTAGAAAGATACTAGGAAAGTTTAGTGTCATTATAATGAATCTGGAATAAGAAACAAACCACTAGCCTTATATTTCATCCTATAAACACAGATTTTAAAAATCTAGTGTCATATATTTTACTTACATTGGAATACTATAAAAACTACTATCCTGTTGACTGACATTTTTGTTATAGTAGAACATACAAAATCTAAATAAATATTTGGAACTATATCATGGCTAGGTTTATTAAAGATCAAAGCAAAAGAACTAGAAGATTTTTGCTTCATATATAAAGTGGATATCACACACGTATTTCACTCAGTGTTCAAAAAAATCACTATACAACAAAAATAACATAGCAAAAGAGGGGGAGCTGGACACATTACCACACATAATGTGTCCTTATGGCATAAGGATCATTTTTATTGGGAGGCCATTAACACTGCCTAAAAGAATCTAAATAGGGGCCTGTAACAGGAAGAGCATTATACCAGAGATAACTTTTTATATAAGAAATATGTTATCAAACATTGAGAACTAAATCACCATTGAGAACTAAAACTGGCCCTTTCCAGAACACATGCAGACTCTACTTAGATAATTTGATATAACTTTGAGTAAAATTACCATAACTACATATAAATGGACAATCTTCATGCCTTTTCCTATAGAGCCACTCAGAAAGATCGCCAGCGACATTGAAGTTGCAAACCAGCAAGATTTGTCAGATTATCACCTTCTGCCTTTATCTATTCTGAAGATACTTGAAGTCCAATATCTAGAAATATTCTCACCTGGATGCCTTTGAACCTCAGAACCTGGGACTGCTCTACACATTAACCATCATTTGTCTTTAACATCCATAGAGATGCCACCTAAAATATAAAATATACCTGATTGTCTGCACACTATTGTCCTAACTTTGGCAGCTGACTTGCATCACACCCTCCTTTAAAGAGTTTAACAGAAGTGACCTAGTGTCAGGATTAAGAGTCTACTTCACTGTGATAGAGCAAGGTACCAACCCAACTTTTGGACTGGGCATCTACTGGGAAACTGGAAAATTTCAAAGGTGGGAATGAGCAGGAGCAGAAGACTTCACCCTAGAATATGCCATGTTGGCATGTGAATTTTTTTGAGCTTAAGGCAATTAAGACCCCACAGATTCAGAGAGAGTTTTTTTTTATTATCTTTTCACTTATTATCTAAAAGAATTAGGGGACCTGTACCAGGAAAAGAGCTATTAACAAAGATACATTTTATATAAGAAAGACTTTTCTGCATGTCAGGGCAGACATGAGTTTACCAAACATTTTCTCTTCTCATCTCAGCTTAATCGTCTTCCTCCTTACTGAAGCCAAAGACCCCTACTCCTCTTTCCTTAACTCAGGATAGTACATAAGTCTCAACTGTTTGACTGCCTTTGTGGCATCATGTCTTTGAAATGCTCCTGTATATTGACAATTAAATTTGTTTTTCTCTTGTTTATCTGTTTTCTGCAAATGTAATCATTACACCAGCCAACAAATGTAGAAAGGAAGAAGGGAAAAGTTTTCTACTCTCTAGAAGAATGAAATTACTCATCACAGGAATTAACTGAAGAGTTAGCTTCTAATATGAATGCAGTGAGAATGATAGTGTTGCTGCAAATGGAGAAATATATTCCATAAAAAGAATGATTAAACAATTAGCAGTGATCCCCAGATCAATAATTCAGTCAAGAAAAGGATTAGTTTGATGCTGACTTACACATTTTCCAATAGATGAGTGAAAAGGACTCTTCCACTGATCTCAAATAATAGATGGTATACCATTCAAGTCAAATCCACTTAAGGCTTCAGGGTAGGGTTCAATGTCTCTTGTTTGGCATACTCCAGAAAGTAAGGATGTTTTGGTTTGCTATCCCATTCATGACCCTCTTATGTCCATAATTTACCAGTCCAATGAATGGAGCTACTTCCTCTTCAGGTTACTACTAACAGGACACTTAAATCACTGTGTTGATTCTTATAAAACAGAATTGGGAATAGGTGTAATGTGAAGAACTGAGAAGGTAAGAGAATAAAGTCATATATGCAAGTAGTAAATAGTAAATAGATCTACTTTGAAGGATTAGGTGTTTTTCAAAATTCTGTAACTTGCTTGACACCAATGTAGTACCCATTACCAACTGACCATGTATCTGCCATCATCCCACTCCATTGTGCATATGTCAGTAAGATCTTCATACCACTTTATCACAAAGAGAAATGCCAAGGTTGTTTCTTCAGATACAATTTGTGCCATCCTTTTCAGGACTTCTGCCGTCTATCCAATAAGTTTGCCTTTTAAATAGAATGGTCACAAAGGATAAATATTGTAAGGACCATTCAAACCCCCTGTATATTCACTTGGGTTATTGACTTTAACTAAAAACATCAAGAAAGTTTTAGCAAACCAAATAAAAAGCACATTAAAAGAATCATTTATCATGATTAAGAAGGACTTATCTGAGGGATGCAAAGAATGTTCAGTATCCACAATCAATCAAGGTGACACACAACATTAATAAAAAGAAGGATAAAAACACATGTTTATCTCAATAACTGATAAAAAGCAAATGACAAGGTTCACATCCATTCATGATAAAAACTCTCAATAAAGTAGGTAATGATGCATCTCTTCTGGTACCAGTACCATATTGTCTTCATTATGCTTCTTTATCCTTATCCATTTAGTTACCAATAACCATGTATCTGCCATTATCCCCCCAAATAAGGGTTATATCTGAGAAACACATAGCTCACATCATACAAATAACAAAAAGCAGAAACCATTTCCTGTATAATCAGGAACAAGACAAGGATGCCCAAGCTCACTTTACTTTTATTCAATATAGTGTTGCAAGTCCTAGAAACAGCAATCAGATGAAAATATTATATAAAAGGCATCCAAGTTGTTTTAGAATAAGAAATATGGTCACTATTTGTAAATCACATCATACTTTATATAGAAAACCTCAAAAACTCTACCAAGAATTGACTAGAATTAGTAAAGGAATTCAGTAGAATTGCAGGATATAAAGCCAATATACAGAATTTTGTTGAAATTCTCTATACAAATAATGAACTAGCAGCAGAAGAAATAAAACAATCTCATTTATAATTGCCTCAAAAAGAATATAATATGTTGGATTAAATGTAACCAAGCAAGGGAAAGTCTTCTAAGTATGAGAACAATAAAACATTGAATTTAAAGAACATACAAATAAATGGAAAGCTATTCCATGCTCATAGAAGGGGAGAATTGTTGTTAAAATGGCCACACTGCCCAAAGCAATGTACAAATTCAATGTAATCCCTATTGTAATACTAATGTCATTTATCATGGGACTAGAGGAAATAACCCTAAAAAACCACAGAGAGCCCAAAAAAATCATGCTAAAGAGAAACAAAGCTTGGGATATCAAGCTCCTTGATTTTCAACTATTCTACAAAAATAAAGTAATGAAGACACCATGGTAGTGGTGCAAGAAGAGATACATAAGCCAATGGAACACAATAGAGAGCCCAGAAATAAATCTATGCTTTTTTATTAAGGTATTATTGATATACAATCTTAAGAAGGTTTCACATGAGCAGCATTGTGAGTACTATATTCACCCATAATTTCAAGTCCTCCCTCAAAGACCCCATTACAGTCACGGTCCATCAGCATAGTAACATGCTATAGTCACTACTTGTCTTCTCTGTGCTCTATTGACTTCACTGTGACCCCCTATCTTATGTGTGCTAATCATAATACCCCTTAATCCTCTTCTCCCTTCCTCCCCATGTTCCCTCCTCACTGCCTTTCCATTTGGTAACCCCTAGTCTCTTCCAGGAGTCTGTGAGTCTGCTGCTGTTTTGTTCCTTAAGTTCAGCTTTGTTGTTATACTCGACAAATGAGTAAAATCATTTGGCACTTGTTTTACTCCACCTGACTTACTTCACTGAGCATAATACCCTCGAGCTGCATTCATGTTGTTGCAGATGGTAGAATTTGTTTCTTTCTTATGGGTGAATAATATTCCATTGTGTATATGTACCACATCTTTATCCATTCATCTACTGATGGACACTTAGGTTGCTTCCATATCTTGGCTATTATAAATAATGCTGATAAACATAGGGGTGTATATATTATTCCTAGAAGTGGAATTATTGGATCAAATGGTATTTCTATTTTTAGTTGTTTGAGGAACATACATTTTGCTTTCCACAATACTTGAACTAATTTACATACCCAACAACAGTGTAGAAGAGTTCCCATTCCTCCACATACTTGTCAGCATTTTTTGTTTATTGTCTTTTGCATGTTACTCATCCTAACTGGTGTGAGGTGTTATCTCATTTTGGTTTTAATTTGCATTTCCCTGATGATTAGCAATGTGGAGCATCTTTTCACATGCCTGTTGGCCATTTGCATTTCTTCTTTTGGAGAAGTGGCTGTTATATCCTCTGCCCCTTATTAAATCAGGTAATTTGTTTTTGGGGGGTTGAGGTGAGTGAGCTCTTTAAATATTTTGCATGATAACTCTTTATCAGATAAGTCATTTATGAATATATTCTCCCATACTATACAATGCTCTTTGCTCTGCTGATGGTGCCCTTTGCTGAACGGGTGCTTTTCAGTTTGATGTAGTCCTCTTAATCATTTTTGTTTTTGTTTTCCTTGCCTGAGATTTATTCAGGAAAAATTTGCTTCATATTTATATTCAAGAGAATTTTATTTTTTAATTTTTTTATTAAGGTATTATTGATATACACTTTTATGAAGGTTGCACATGAAAAAACTATGTGGTTACTACATTCACCCCTGTTATCATGTCCCCTCCATACCCCATTGCAGCCACTACCCATCAGTGTAGTAAGATGCCACAGAGTCACTATTTGCCTTCTCTGTGCTACACTGTCTTCCCCATGATCCCCCCACACCATGTGTGCCAATGATATTACCCCTGAATCCTCTTCTCCCTCCCTCCCCACCTACCCTCCCCCACCCCTCCCCTTTGGTAACCGCTAGTCCCTTCTTGGAGTCTGTGAGTCTGTTGCTGTTTTGTTCCTTCAGTTTTGCTTCATTGTTTTACTCCACAAATGAGGGAAATCATTTGGTACTTGCCTTTCTCCACCTGGCTAATTTCACTGAGCATAATATCCTCCAGCTCCATCCATGTTCTTGTAAATTATAGAATTTTTTTTCTTTCTATGGCTCAGTAGTATTCCATTGTATATATGTACCACATCTTCTTTACTCATTCATCTACTGATGGACACTTACTTTGCGTCCATATCTTAGCTATTGTAAATACTGCTGCAATAAATATAGAGGTGCATATGCCTTTTTAAATCTGAGAAATTATGTTCTTTGGGTAAAGTCCTAGCAGTGGAATTCCTGGGTCAAATGGTATCTCTATTTTTAGTATTTGAGGAACCTCCATATTGCTTTCCACAGTGGTTGAATTAGCTTACATTCCCACCAGCAGTGTAAGAGGGTTCCCCTTTCTCCACATCCTCACCAGCATTGGTTGTTGTTTGTCTTTGGGATGTTGGTCATCCTAACTGGTGTGACGTGATATCTCATTCTGGTTTTTATTTGTATGTCCCTAATAATTAGTGATGTGGAGTATCTTTTCATATGTCTGTTGGCCATCTGAATTTCCTTGGAGAATTGTCTGTTCATATCTTCCAACCATTTTTTAATTGGGTTATTTGCTTCTTGGGTGTTGAGGTGTGTAAGCTCTTTATATATTTTGGATGTTAACCACTTGTCATATATGTCACTTACAAATATATTCTCCCATACTGTAGGATGCCTTTTTGTTCTCTTGATGATGTCCTTTGCTGTAAAGAAACTTTTAAGTTTGATATAGGCCCATGCATTCATTTCTGCTTTTGTTTCCCTTGCTTGAGGAGATACATTCAGAAAAAAGTTGCTCATGTTTACATTCAGGAGATTTTTGGCAATGTTATCTTGTAAGAGTTTTATGGTTTCATGACTTACATTCAGGTCTTTGATCCATTTCGAGTTTACCTTTGTGTATGGGGATAGACAATAATCCAGTTTCATTCTCTTGCATGTATCTGTCCAGTTTTGCCAACACCAGTTGTTGAAGAGACTGTCATTTCCCCACTGTAT